ACACCTAATTACTGGGAGCGCTTGAGGTTTTTAAACCTGTATTCCCGGGAACGGGAGGGGAGATACTGAAATATAACCTGGAAAATCCCTAGGGGGGACTAGTCCCGAACTTGCCACAAAAATCACCATTACAAAAGCAAAAGACTTGGCAACGATGCCCATCCCCCAATGAAAACGGGGTTTTGTCACAAGCACGTTAAGAGCCCATACAAAAGGTCAGGGGCCCGGACTGTTCAACTGCCCCCCCAGCCACATAAGGGGGTTTCCCAACAGCCCCCCTGGCAGTCTTAAAGCGGAAAGGAACAAACCAAAAGCGTTCCTGATAGCCGGGCTGTGGCTCGTACTTGGTTTCGTGCAGCCAGCAGAACAGCCTGGGTTTATCGGCGTGATCCACCAGGAGGCCTGGTCACAGACCCGGGCCGCGGGGGGGTTGACCCCCCAAAACCCCTCCAGGTAAACTCCCCGTAAAACTCCCTGACCTGGCCCTGTTCTCGGGTTGCCGGGTTGTAAAGCAAACCCTTTGCGTTTGCCATTGAAATGGACTCATCTGGGCCGTATTTCCGGGGGCTCCATCTACCCCCCGGGTTTTTTCCCCAAATCTGCCCAAAGGTTTGTACCCCTTGACTTTTTTCTCTCAGAGAAAAAAAAGTATAAGTGCCTTTTTCATTCGGGAAATGGAGGAACACACTCGTTGCCCATCATCGGCAGCTGGACCTGAAAAATTTTATTCAGATGTTACAACATCACATCAATCAGCTTTGTAGTCCTCTTACACCCCTTCAATTTATTTTGGGCACAAGGAGTTCTCCCCCAGCTGTGGGAAAACTGCCTTGTTCTCCCTTTCCCCAAACTGGGTTTTCTAGGGGATGAGCCTCCCCCCTATCGTCCCAAATGCAGCTTCAAATGATGGAAGTCGGTAAATCCGTTTAATGGGTATTTAGAGCTGTTTAAAAATAGACCTTGCTAAACCCTTTGGGTACGTGTGTTCGTAATCCTTTGGGGAAAAACCCCTCGGTTATTGCCATTTTTTTGACCCCGAGAAGCATGATACAACTTTAAAAGGTATAATATTTTGGCCCAAAAACCCCCTCTTTAGGCTTCCAAGGCAATCTACCCCTCCTTCCTTAAGAATTTTTTTTCTGACGAAATTTTTATGTTCGGGTTTTTAAGTGCTCTCCCCGGACTTTGTCCAAGCTGAAGGTGTCCCCCAGGGATGTGTTCTGAGCACAACACTTTTTCTCCTTGCTATAAATGATTTGGCCTCTAGTCTTCCATCCAATATTTGGTCATCACTCTATGTTGATGACTTCGCTATAGCTTGTGCAGGCGCTGACTGTCACCTCATTACAGTTTCTCTCCAGCATGCAGTCGACTGTGTTTCCAATTGGGCCACCACACATGGGTTTAAATTTTCCAGTACTAAAACTCGCCAAATTACTTTCACTAGACGCTCTGTCATCTCCGATCATCCTTTGTACCTTTATGGCTCACATATCCCTGAACGTGATACAGTCAGGTTTCTAGGCCTTCTCTTTGACCATAGGTTATCCTGGAAACCTCACATTACCTCTCTGAAGGCAACTTGTCACAGCCGGCTGAACCTTCTTAAAACCCTTGCTCACCTTTCATGGGGAGCTGATCGTCGAACTCTCCTTCGCCTACATTCAGCCCTCATTTTATCGAAACTCGATTATGGTGATCAGATCTATTCAGCGGCCTCTCCTGCTACTCTCTCGAGCTTAATCCCATCCATCACCAGGGATTACGTTTGTGCCTTGGTGCTTTTCGCTCTTCCCCTGTTGAGAGCCTCTATGCAGAAGCGAATGTTCCATCCTTGTCTGATCACCGCGATGCCCAATGCCTTCATTACTATGTTCGCTCTCATGATCTCCACAATCCTTCCATATATAGAATAGTCACCGATGTTAGTAGACATTATCTGTTCATCGCCTGTTTGCTCCGTCCTTTTTCTCTTCGAGTACATTCACTCTTGTCTTCCCTTCAGTTACCACCTTTTTATGTTCATGTAGCATCTCACTTTTCCCTGCCCCCCCTGGGAAGTTCCAGTTGTCCAAGTCTGTTCTTTCTCACTCCCTTGCGCGAAAGCCCAACTGCCTACGGTAGATTCCCGCTCTCTTTTTTCTTGACCACTTCCGCTCTCATTCTCATGCCATCACAGTGTACACAGATGGCTCTAATTCTTCTGATGGCGTTGGATTCGCAGCAGTGTTTCCGGACAGTGTCGTGCGAGGACATTTACTATCCTCAGCTAGCATTTTTACAGCTGAATTGTATGCCATTCTTGCAGCACTTATCCGTGTTGCATCTATGCCTGTGTCATCATTTGTGGTTGTCTCAGACTCCCTTAGTGCTCTACAGGCTATACGAAAATTTGATACACCTCACCCCCTAGTCTTCCGTATCCAACTTTGGCTACACCGTATCTCTACCAAGCATAAAGATATTGTTTTTTGTTGGGTCCCTGGTCATGTTGACGTACAGGGCAATGAACAGGCAGACACTGCTGCGGGGTCAGCGGTACATGACCTACCAGTTTCATATAGAGGTGTTTCATTTACAGACTATTTTGCTGTAATAGCTACCCACCTTCACACCCGTTGGCAACAACGTTGGTCAACTGTACTCGGTAACAAACTTCAGTCTATTAAACCGAGTATAGGTAACTGGTCGTCTTCTTGTCATCAGTGTCGAGGTTGGGAGACTACTCCCGTCTTCGCATTGGCAACACTTGTCATACTCATGAGTATCTCATGGACAGGCGCCCTGTTCCTCTCTCTGAGAAGTGTCAGGTTCCAGTATCGATTAGTCACATTCTGCCCTCTATCAACGAGCACGCAGAATTTACCTCCGTCATCGTCTCCGCTCTCCTACTCTTTCTTTACCTTCCCTTCTTGCTGATGGACCCTCCTTTAATCCTGACTCTCATTGACTTCTTGACAACGACTGATTTACTGCACAAACTCTGATGATGATACCTTTCGCACTCCCCTCACCCCTTTCTACCTCAATCTTTTGCTGCCCTCTACCCTTTCGCTATCCTGCCCTCCAGCGTTATATTGTCCTTGAGGTTTAGCGCTTCTTTTTGATTATAATAATAATAATAATAATAATGACATTATTTAGCACTTCCATGTGAAAATAATAATAGTAAAGTATATTAACTTCCAGTAACTGATCTGTGGTAAGGGGCTCTTTATCCAAGGAATCAGACCTATTATATATTTCCCCAGGCAATGCATGACCCTTGTGGGTTTACTTCTCCCCTCCCTCCCACCAGGAATGTAATAATGTAGCTAGTTATGAATAGTAAAACAATAAGTGAGGTTAGTGGAAGATAAATTAAAAATGCAAATCGAAGTTTATAATCAGAACAGCATTCCCTCAACATTATCTACAGAAACAAGATAAAGAAAATAATTGTCATTAAATGAATCTTATGACTTGACACCGTGATATAATATTACTTGAGATACAATAGAGAAAAATCTGAGGAAGCAAGCCAAGAAGGGATAGATATGTAGAAATGCAGCAGTTAGAAGATACAAATCTGAACTCTGTACATTGTACAACCACATTATATTTGTGCAAGGAAATTATATAAAATCAAAGATGTCACATGCAAAAGAAGCTCCTCATGGAAGGTCTCTTGATTCTGGTAAGTTATTGATCCAAGGCATTGGACCTGCTCTCCTTTCTTGGATTGAACCTGAATATCTCAGTCCTATAGGCACTATGACTTTTGCATGTACATAGGGATCACTAAACCTGCAGAAGGTAATATTGGAGTGTATATTTAACAAGGATGCTTATGTAGAACGTTCATATTTGTTTTTAAGATGCACAAATTCATCCCACCCATACAGAGGCACAGAAGTGCAGTGTATCATGGTCCTTATAGCACTACTGGAATCAGCATTTATCTCCAATACATTGCCATTGTTATAGAAACTAGGAAGAGGCAACCCCTCAAGGAAGGTTCCTTGATGCTGGTGAGGGGCTCTTGATCTAGGGAACTGGATGTGTGCTCCGGTTCCCTGAGTTAAACCTGAATACCTTCCATCCCTCCCCCAAGCACTGTATAATCCTATGGGTTTAGTGCTTCCCCCCCCCTCAAGGAAGGTTCCTTGATGTTGGTGAGGGGCTCTTGATTTAGGGAATTGGATCTGTGCTCCAGTTCCCCGAATTAAGCCTGAATGCCTTCCACATCCCCCCCCCCCCAGGCGCTGTATAATCCTCCGGGTTTAGCGCTTCCCCCTTGATTATAATAATAATAATAGGAAGAGGCAAATGTACAACCATGCTAATCCCAGGCACTGTCAGATTGTGCAAAAACCCAGCAAAATTATAATTCTGTGCCAATAACCTGTATTGTGCAAACCCCAAAGTTAATTTTCCCAAATTTCATGCTGTAACAGTTTTCATCTTAATCCGCTAACCATCAAGGAAAAGCTAGCAAGATGAAACTAAATATCACCATATTAGCTGAATTTAAAGTAAACCTGTTAATGTTTTCTTAAGCTGAGAGAAACAATATTTAAAGAAAGAAGCAATATCATAGAAAGTCTTGATTTGTGTAATTGTTTCTTAGATTTTCATAACCACATAATAAATATGGCAGTCTGAATATATACTATTCTCTCATGCAACCTTAGCATTCATTTATAAAATGCATGTAGTTTTGAGCATCATTATAAAGTGTTGGCACTGTCACTTCACAATTTTAATGACAATTGTGTCAATTAAGAATTCATAAATAAAACTTTTATTTTTATATTAATAAACAAACCATATTACACTAGATAGTCAGTGGGATAATTTTGTAATGATAGTTCTTTTACTTTTAAGATTTATTCCATAAACAAATTAGAATACAATTACACATGGCAAGAAAACCTTAGAGGGTCATACTTCTGTATGGAGAGTGCTCAACTAGAGCCCATGAGACTTGTGCATAAGAGTGCAGAAAGAAAGAAAAAAAGTAAAGTTTATCATCTTTAATGTGCAACACTTGTGTACAGGAAATAATACTCCATGTGTAATTTTATCTGCATCATGCTTATTAAAAATTGTACTGTTCAATTCAATAAATATAACAGCTATATAAAATCAATATGAACTGACAAAATTCACAACAATATAAATTTAAAAAAGTACAACAGCATTAAGGTGTCAACAATATTTCATGTGTAAAATATTAATTTCTTGTTAGTATGCCTTTAGCCAAGTTAATACAAATTACAGTACAGGTCAGCCATCACTAATCCGGCATCATTGGGACCTGTGGTGTGCTGGATTACAGAGTCGTTAGGTTAGAATATACTTAATTGACCTATTATAGACTCTTCTGCTACATCTTTCTCATTTTCATCACTGCTTTCTTCTCCACTGGCTTGCTGCTGTGGATTTACAACCATTTGCACAATTTCTGATTCAGTATAAAGATGAAATTTGAAATTATGCTAGCCGAAATTAGTGCCAGATTACTGATGGAACCGGATAACTGATTGCCAGATTAGTGATGGCGAACCTGTACTGAAGAAAGGCATTGCCATCCACTGAACATTATATGTACTAACATGAGAGGAAACTTTTTTTAACACTGGCCATCTTCCACCAAAGCAGGGAGACCCCATTCCCCAAAATGAACATTAAATATATTTCCAATAGAGAAGATACTGATACTCTAAATTAACTATACTGTTTAACATTCTGGTAATATGTAACAAGTATTAACTCTCAATCACCTAATATATGACTTGTGGGTTTATGCTTAGTTCTGATCATAATAATCGACTAACAATGATTAAATAATTAACTTCATTTATTTCCCATAGTTTACTAACAGTTTTTCATCACTAATTCGTAACAATGTGGCTACTATATAAACAGAGATAATTATAATTTTCCATCCTGGGGTTTTAAAGCATCCCACTTATGTAACATCAACAAACCCCAACCCAGACAACGAAAAAATAATCGCTTTAACAACTTGGTATGGAATGGCAAAATAGAATGTTTATTTCAAAACTGCTAAGTGCAGCTTCAAGTACCTATCACAGCTTCTCACTGTAAGGAGCAAAGCATCTTGACACCTACAGCTTAAAAAGAAAGAAAAAAAAAGCAGGAACAATGACATATATTGCACTTATTACTTAAGTTTCTCCAAAAGCATTTTCTCCAGTTTTACTGCATCAGCAGCAAACTTGCGGATTCCATCAGACAGTTTGTCATTAGCCATCTGATCTTCATTCATCTCCCAACGGAATTTGGCTTCGGTCATCTCTACCTTCTCCATGTCATGTTTTTTAGCTGGGGAAAAGGAAAGCAAAATAATACAATACTTTCTTAAATGAATGATTTTAGACCAATATAAACATTTAAATACTCTAAATAATCAACATGGTTCCTAATTTGTCATGTCATTACGTTCTGCTGGATCACATGCAGGAAAAATAATTATATCTTGCACTATAATATTTCTAGTACTATGTCACACTATAAAATTCACCCAAGGTCAAGAATGCTGAATGCCATTATGTTTTTACTTTAGCAAATATAGTCATCTTTGTAATTTTTTTTTTTTTTTTTTTTGGTTTGCCAAGATCTGATTTTAGACTGGAGATGAAAATATGGTAGACAGCAACCACCCAGAGAGGTACTACCGTCCTGCCAAGTGAGTGTAAAATGAGACTAATTGTTTTATGTGATGGTAGGATTGCTGATGTCTTTTGTCTGTCTCAAATATGCAAGAATACAGGTACATCTTGCTACTTCTACTTACACTTAGGTCACACTATACATACATGTACCCATTTATTTATACACACTCAGAGTTTTTTTTATTTCATAATAAATAATAATTATAATAATAATAATGTTTATTTCTTGGTAAAGGTTATAATGTGTAATTACAATTTTGATTTGCCAAGTACAAAGATAGCCACTATCATGCCAAGGCATTTCGGGCAAACTAATCCCTATACATAGTAACTAATTACAACTAGATAAGACAATAGTACATAGTAATTATACTTGAAACTAAACATGGAATAGTGGTTAGCTGTTTTACAATCTTATTTGGACTTAATAAATCTTATGTATACTAAGTACAAAATCTAATTTACAAGGAATGGTGCAGGTGGTAATATTTTATGGAATGGCAGAATTAAAAGCCAGGTGGTCACATGATAAAACTAGTCAGTAGATGTTTGGTTGATTTGGTTAATATTGTGAGATAAGATGATTTTTTAGCAGAGTCCTAAATTTATAAGCTGTCTGGGGATCCTTGACCTGTTCCGGTAGCAAGTTCCAGATCTTCGAGCCTTTTTTACATCCATGGGCAAGTGGAATAAGAATCTTTCCTCCGTCAGCCATGCGTGTTGTAAAAGTCAACTAAAATGCTGGGAACAATGGGCTAGTAACCCCTTTTCCTGTACAGATTACTAAAAAGAAAACTGTCAAAGTGAGATGTCTGAATGTGCGTGGATGTTGTGTGAATGATAAGAAAGAGATGATTGTGGATGCTATGAATGAGAAGCCGGATGTCCTGGCTTTAAGTAAAACAAAGCTGAAGAGGGTGGGAGAGTTTCAATGGAGAGAAGTAAATGGGATTAGGCCAGGGGTTTCAAATAGAGTTAGAGCTAAAGAAGGAGTAGCAATAATGTTGAAGGATATGCTATGGCAGGAAAAGAGGGAGCATTTTATTTTTTTTTATTATCACACTGGCCGATTCCCACCAAGGCAGGGTGGCCCGAAAAAGAAAAACTTTCACCATCATTCACTCCATCACTGTCTTGCCAGAAGGGTGCTTTACACCCACTGTACTTACAGGCACTGTACTTCCCATCTCCAGGACTCAAGTCTGGCCTGCCGGTTTCCCTGAACCCCTTCATAAATGTTACTTTGCTCCCACTCCAACAGCACGTCAAGTATTAAAAACCATTCGTCTCCATTCACTCCTATCAAACACGCTCACGCATGCCTGCTGGAAGTCCAAGCCCCTCGCACACAAAACCTCCTTTACCCCCTCCCTCCAACCTTTCCTAGGCCGACCCCTAACCCGCCTTCCTTCCACTACAGACTGATACACTCTTGAAGTTATTCTATTTCGCTCCTTTCTTTCCACATGTCCAAACCACCTCAACAACCCTTCCTCAGCCCTCTGGACAACAGTTTTGGTAATCCCGCACCTCCTCCTAACTTCCAAACTGCGAATTCTCTGCATTATATTCACACCACACATTGCCCTCAGACATGACATCTCCACTGCCTCCAGCCTTCTCCTCGCTGCAACATTCATCACCCATGCTTCACACCCATATAAGAGCGTTGGTAAAACTATACTCTCATACATTCCCCTCTTTGCCTCCAAGGACAAAGTTCTTTGTCTCCACAGACTCCTAAGTGCACCACTCACCCTTTTCCCCTCATCAATTCTATGATTCACCTCATCTTTCATAGACCCATCCGCTGACACGTCCACTCCCAAATATCTGAATACATTCACCTCCTCCATACTCTCTCCCTCCAATCTGATATCCAGTCTTTCATCACCTAATCTTTTTGTTATCCTCATAACCTTACTCTTTCCTGTATTCACTTTCAATTTTCTTCTTTTGCACACCCTACCAAATTCATCCACCAATCTCTGCAACTTCTCTTCAGAATCTCCCAAGAGCACAGTGTCATCAGCAAAGAGCAACTGTGACAACTCCCACTTTATGTGTGATTCTTTATCTTTTAACTCCACGCCTCTTGCCAAGACCCTCGCATTTACTTCTCTTACAACCCCATCTATAAATATATTAAACAACCATGGTGACATCACACATCCTTGTCTAAGGCCTACTTTTACTGGGAAATAATTTCCCTCTTTCCTACATACTCTAACTTGAGCCTCACTATCCTCGTAAAAACTCTTCACTGCTTTCAGTAATCTACCTCCTACACCATACATCTGCCACATTGCCCCCCTACCCACCCTGTCATACGCCTTTTCCAAATCCATAAATGCCACAAAGACCTCTTTAGCCTTATCTAAATACTGTTCACTTATATGTTTCACTGTAAACACCTGGTCCACACACCCCCTACCTTTCCTAAAGCCTCCTTGTTCATCTGCTATCCTATTCTCCGTCTTACTCTTAATTCTTTCAATAATAACTCTACCATACACTTTGCCAGGTATACTCAACAGACTTATCCCCCTATAATTTTTGCACTCTCTTTTATCCCCTTTGCCTTTATACAAAGGAACTATGCATGCTCTCTGCCAATCCCTAGGTACCTTACCCTCTTCCATACATTTATTAAATAATTGCACCAACCACTCCAAAACTACATCCCCACCTGCTTTTAACATTTCTATCTTTATCCCATCAATCCCGGCTGCCTTACCCCCTTTCATTTTACCTACTGCCTTACGAACTTCCCCCCCACTCACAACTAGCTCTTCCTCACTCCTACAAGATGTTGTTCCTCCTTGCCCTATACACGAAATCACAGCTTCCCTATCTTCATCAACATTTAACAATTCCTCAAAATATTCCCTCCATCTTCCCAATACCTCTAACTCTCCATTTAATAACTCTCCTCTCCTATTTTTAACTGACAAATCCATTTGTTTTTCTAGGCTTTCTTAACTTATTAATCTCACTCCAAAACTTTTTCTTATTTTCAACAAAATTTGTTGATAACATCTCACCCACTCTCTCATTTGCTCTCTTTTTACATTGCTTCACCACTCTCTTAACCTCTCTCTTTTTCTCCATATACTCTTCCCTCCTTGCATTACTTCTACTTTGTAAAAACTTCTCATATGCTAACTTTTTCTCCCTTACTACTCTCTTCACATCATCATTCCACCAATCGCCCCTCTTCCCTCCCGCACCCACTTTCCTGTAACCACAAACTTCTGCTGAACACTAACACTACATTTTTAAACCTACCCCATACCTCTTCGACCCCATTGCCTATGCTCTCATTAGCTCATCTATCCTCCAATAGCTGTTTATATCTTACCCTAACTGCCTCCTCTTTTAGTTTATAAACCTTCACCTCTCTCTTCCCTGATGCTTCTATTCTCCTTGTATCCCATCTACCTTTTACTCTCAGTGTAGCTACAACTAGAAAGTGATCTGATATATCTGTGGCCCCTCTATAAACATGTACATCCTGAAGTCTACTCAACAGTCTTTTATCTACTAATACATAATCCAACAAACTACTGTCATTTCGCCCTACATCATATCTTGTATACTTATTTATCCTCTTTTTCTTAAATATGTATTACCTATAACTAAACCCTTTTCTATACAAAGTTCAATCAAAGGGCTCCATTATCATTTACACCTGGCACCCACAACTTACCTACCACACCCTCTCTAAAAGTTTCTCCTACTTTAGCATTCAGGTCCCCTACCACAATTACTCTCTCACTTGGTTCAAAGGCTCCTATACATTCACTTAACATCTCCCAAAATCTCTCTCTCTCCTCTGCATTCCTCTCTTCTCCAGGTGCATACACGCTTTTTATGACCCACTTCTCGCATCCAACCTTTACTTTAATCAACATAATTCTTGAATTTACACATTCATATTCTCTTTTCTCCTTCCATAACTGATCATTCAACATTACTGCTATCCCTTCCTTTGTTCTAACTCTCTCAGATACTCCAGATTTAATCCCATTTATTTCCCCCCACCGAAACTCCCCTACCCCCTTCAGCTTTGTTTCGCTTAGGGCCAGGACATCCAACTTCTTTTCATTCATAACATCAGCAATCATCTGTTTCTTGTCATCCTCACTACATCCATGCACATTTAAGCATCCTAGTTTTATAAAGTTTTTCTTCTCCTTTTTAGTAAAAGTCTACAGGAGAAGGGGTTACTAGCCCATTGCTCCCGGCATTTTAGTCGCCTCATACGACACGCATGGCTTACGGAGGAAAGATTCTTTTCCACTTCCCCATGGACAATAGAAGAAATAAAGAGGAACAAGAGCTATTTAGAAAAAGGAGAAAAACCTAGATGTATGTATATATATATATATGCATGTGCGTGTCTGTGAAGTGTGACCAAAGTGTAAGTAGGAGTAGCAAGATATCCCTGTTATCTAGCGTGTTTATGAGACAGAAAAAGAAACCAGCAATTCTACCATCATGCAAAACAGTTACAGGTTTCTGTTTCACAGTCATCTGGCAGGACGGTAGTACTTCCCTGGGTGGTTGCTGTCTACCAACCTACATATGTATTAATTCAAGGATTATGTGGAGTAAAATAAAGGCTGGATGTGAAAAGTGGGTTATAGTAAGCATATATACACCTGGAGAAGAGAGAAGTGTAGAGGAGAGAGATGTTTTGGGAATTGTTGAGCGAATGTGTGGGGAGTTTTGAACCAAGTGTGAGAGTACTTGTGGTTGGGGATTTCAACGCTTAATTGATTTGTGTTGGGGAGAGGGGTGGGATTAAATTATGGGGAATTAAATACAAAATGGGAATTGACACAGTTACTTTTTGCTGATGATACTGTGCTTATGGGAGATTCTAAGAAAAGTTGCAAAGAGGGTGACCCAAAAAGAAAGAAAATTCCCAAAATGAAAATACTTTCATCACTCAACAATTTCACCTCACTCGTACATAATCACTGTTTTTGCAGAGGCACCCAGATACAACAGTTTAGAAGCATATATAAAGATACAATATAAAAAGTGACCTGAAATAATATAAACTCCATATAGAATATAATATCAGGGCCCCAATTATATATATACTGTCCTATTACATATCCCTCCAAACTGTCAATATCCCAAACCCCTCCTTTAAAGTGAAGGCATTGTACTTCCCATTTCCAGAACTTAAGTCCGGCTATATAAAAATAACTGGTTTCCCTGAATTCCTTCACTAAATATTACCCTGCTCACACTCCAACAGTTCGTCAGGTCCCAAAAATCATTCGTCTCCATTCATTCCTATCTAACATGCTCATGCACGCTTGCTGGAAGTCCAAGCCCTTCGCCCACAAAACCTCCTTTACTCCCTCCCTCCAACCTTTTCGAGGACGACCCCTACCCTGCCTTCCTTCCCCTACAGATTTATACGCTCTCCATGTCATTCTACTTTGATCCATTCTCTCTAAATGACTAAATCACAACCCCTCTTCAGCCTTCTGACTAATACTTTTATTAACTCCACACTCTCCTAATTTCCACACTTCGAATTCTCTGCATAATATTTACCACACATTGCCCTTAGACAGGACATCTCCACTGCCTCCAACCCCCTCCTCGCTGCAGCATTTACAACCCAAGTTTCACACCCATATAAGAGTGTTGGTTCCACTATACTTTCATACATTCCCTTCTTTGCCTCCATTGATAACGTTTTTTTTGTCTCCACATATACCATAACGCACCGCTCACCTTTTTTCCCTCATCAATTCTATGGTTAACCTCATCCTTCATAAACCCATCTGCTGACACATCAACTCCTAAATATCTGAGAACATTCACTTCTTCCATACTGCTTCTCTCCAATGTGATTCCCAATTTTTCTTTATCTAAATCATTTGATACCCTCATCACCTTACTTGTTCATGGAAGCAAAGAAGGGAATGTATGAGAGTATAGTTGTACCAACACTCCTGTATGGGTGTGAAGCATGAATGATGAATGTTGCAATGAGGAGAAGGCTGGAGGCAGTGGAGATGTCATCCGAGGGCAATGTGTTGTGTGAATATAATGCAGAGAATTCATAGTTTGGAAATTAGGAGAAGGTGTGGGATTACCAAAAGTATTATCCAGAGGACTGAGGAGGGGTTGTTGAGGTGGTTAGGACATGTAGAGAGAATGGAGCAAAACGGAATGACTTCCAGAGTGTATAAATCTGTAGTGGAGGGAAGGCGGGGTAGGGGTCGGCCTAGGAAGAGTTGGAGGGAGGGGGTAAAGGAGGTTTTGTGTGCGAGGGGCTTGGACTTCCAGAAAGCGTCCATGAGTTTATTTGATAGGAGTGAATGGAGACAAATAGTTTTTAATACTTGACATGCTGTTGGAGTGTGAGCAAAGTAACATTTATGAAGGGATTCAGGGAAACTAGCAGGCAGGACTTGAGTCTTGGAGATGGGAAGTACAGTGTCTACATTCTGAAGGAGGGGTGTTAATGTTGCAGTTTTATAGCTATAGTGTAAAGCACCCTCTGGCAAGACAGTGATGGAGTGAATGATGATGAAGTTTTTCTTTTTCGGGCCACCCTGCCTTGGTAGGAATCGGCTGATGTGCTAAAAAAAAAAAAAAAAAAAATACCTTACACTTATCTATGTTCACTTTCAACTTTCTTCCTCTGCACACCCTCCCAAACTCATCAAGCAACCTTTGTACCTTCTCTTTAGAATCTTCCATAAGCACAGTATCATCAGCAAAAAGTAACTGTGTCAACTCCCTCTTTGTATTTGAATCCCCATAATTTAATCCCACCTTTCTCCCCAACACCCTAGCATTTATTTCTTTTACAACTCCATTTATAAATATGTTAGACAACCATGGTGACGTTACACATCCCTGTCCTACTATTATTGGAAAGTAATCTCCTCCTCTCCTACACACCCTTACCCAAGCCTCACTATCCTCATAAACACTCTTTACAGCATTTAGTAACTTGCTACCTATTCCATATACTTGAAACATCTGTCACATTGTTTCCCTATCCACTATCATATGCCTTTTCTAAATCCATAAATGCAATGAAAACTTCCCTACCTTTATCTAAATACTGTTCACATATATGCTTCAATGTAAACACTTGATCTACACATCCCCTACCCACTCTAAAGCCTCCTTGCTCATCCGCAATCCTACTCTGTCTCGCCTGTAATTCTTTCAATAATAACCCTACCGTACACTTTTCCTGGTATACTTGGTAAACTTATTCCCCTATATTTTTTACAATCTTTTTTGTCCCCCTTTCCTTTACATAAAGGAACTATACATGCTCTCTGCCAATCCCTAGGTACCTTCCTCATCTTCCATACATTTATTAAACAAAAATTCCAACACTATATCCACCCTTGCTTTTAACATTTCTGTCATAATCCTGTCACTTCCTGCTGCTTTACCCCCTTTCATTCTACATTATGCCTCGTGCACCTCCCCCACACTCACATCCTGCTCTTGTTCACTCCTAAAAGATGTTATACCTCCCTGGCCAGTGCATGAAATGACCGCCTCCCTTTCTTCGTCAACATTTAAAAGTTCCTCAAAATATTCCTGCCATCTACCCAATACCTCCAGCTCCCCATCTACTAACTCCCCTACTCTGTTTTTAACTGACAAATCCATTCGTTCCCTAGGCTTCCTTAACTTGTTTATCTCACAAATCTTACAATTTAATTATTAGAGTACATGAATAAAAACAGTTCAATGATTTTCCAGCATGTTAAGAATCATAATAACTAGTAAGCTGCTTCCATTATATATAGAAGGTATCCTCAACTTGGCCATAACTGCATCATTACCCTATTTTAATATCTCATAAGGACAGTGAAAACTATGCTATAAAAACCTTAACCTTAAAGGCACTTAATTCCTATAACCGACATACACCCTGAAACTGACTTTGGTCATGAGTTTTGCCTCTGTACAAATCTTCTCTTATACTTTTTCACTCACCAGAGTGCAGTGCCACTAAGAAGTGCTACTGCCAGGGCTCAAATAGGCCTACCCCTTTCATGCATTTTTAACACCCTCACTTTGCCACACTCCCTCTACAAGGGCTACAAGGGCTACCACCACCACCACCACCACCCACCACCACTGAAGACTAATCTTTTGACAGACTTGAAATCAGACGAGGTTTTCTTAAAAGGAATAACAATTACTAAAAGCCATTCAGACTAATGAGCCCTGGTAAGGCAGTAATCATTATTGACAAGGCTCACCACAGGGCTATGGGCTACCCCATATATGTATCCTTAGATACCAGTCTTATTGTGCCTTCCCTGCCCTAAAGCTGGCACCAATGAATGGGTCATCTTATGACAAACTCATATCAGGTGAATTTATATGACAAATTAACAAATAGCCATTTCTGTCTGCTGAAGAGGGCCTCAGTGCTATACCAAAATATTGAACTCATTTTATATGCTGGTTTATTGTCTCCATGTGGGTTTGTGACAAGGAATATATTTTGCTGTCATGAGCCATTCTGGTATTCAGGGCAGCAAACTTGAAGAATCCATGAGTCATAATTCATACCTGATCTGCAGAAGGTTGATCCTTTCAGACTGAAACCCAGTTCTTAACTAGTGACCAAAAAAGTTTAATTAAACCTCAACTGGGCTTCTGGCTGTCCTCCTTTCAGTTAGTGGTTATGGGGAAATGGTACTCTTTTAATGGCATGTTGCTCACAGACATGCTCATTTCATGGAATGATATCCAGCATTACATTGTGAGAATTTCCAATCATGTTGGCATCCAACATCTTTTGACAGAATGCCTCACTTACAAGATAACATTCTAATTATTTAAAACCTCTTTAATATACCCTAACATGCTTCCTTTTCTGCCCTACCTTCAGTGCAGATACTAAACATTAAGACTAAAGTGAATTTATTGCATTGAGTTAAATTTCCCTTTACCTTTGCAGCTGTCTCAGTACCTTTGCATTTTTAACTAGTGTCATCATTCCCCCCTACACCCTTACATAAACCTGCAGTGTTGAGTGACCCAAGAGTTTGAATTTTAATATATTAAACAATTATATGTATAGAGGTAAAATACCTACCACTGGCCTCTGATAAGTGTTGTGTGATAGGTTCTGTTGAATTCTGGAGCTCCTCTAAGAATTTTGGCCCAATGGTCAGTAGATCACAGCCAGCTAGTTCACGAATCTCACCTTGAAAGAAAACAGCATTGCAATACATGTAGTTGTATAACACTACAATGTTAGCTCTACTTCAATGTACAATTTAAGATGTAAAATATACTGCTACATAATGTAATGCCAACATTCTAGTAGGCTTTATAGAGAAAATACTTTTATCTGTAATTATAAATGATAAAACTCCTAACCAATTTTTGTCAAAAATTTGAATCCTTTGCAAATACATAAAATAAACAGAAAATGAATTCAATTGAAAGAATTTCTTGACCTGAATGGGTTTGGTGCATTTTTGCAAATATAATAATTCAGATGATTGCATCTTTTTCTTACAGATCAGAATAATTCTAAAATAACATTTCTATTTTGAAAATAATTGGAAAACCATCTCCAATATGACAGACTGTCCTTAACCCTTTATCGTGTTGGGCCGAAAAAATTCGGTATTGATTACGTGTTTTTGGCGCGTGTCATACTTCGCGCCCCGCGCGGCCAGCTTCCCGTTCTTTAGTTCCAACCAATCACAAGCCTTCCCTGAGTCTCTTCAGCTAAGTACAGTTCGCTTCTGCCGCCTTCCCATTGGTTGAGAGATCAAAATATAAACACTAGCGGCTTGGCTTCGAACACACGCGCATTTTTCCCTCCACCCTTGCTAATCTACTCTTGGATTATACATTCTACAATGTCGGTAAGTACTGATTGTTGTGTTTAGTGCTTACATGAATAGTTTAGGCATATTTTGATATATACCTAAAGTCCATGTGAAGCATAATATGAGTGTAGCATGCAGTTGAAAAAAGTGCAAGCATTTTAGTCCGAATTATTTCGGTATTGCGCGAGTTTCCGGGAATGTCCAATTTTAGTCAAATAAATATTTATAAAAAATTTTCAATTGCATATATGAACTCTGTAGTGGTCTGGATTTATACAGGAGGTTTCTATTGTCCTTCCAGTTCCATGAGAGGCTGTTTTATGGGGAGCAGTCGACCAGCAGGTCGAGGTATATCTGCGTTTCTGAAGACAGTGACTCGGAACCAGAGGTAGACGAACCAGAATTGCTGGATAGTGGTGATGAATACTTGCCACCGGATGCACAGGATGCAGAGATGTCAACTGATGATGAGGAGGAAGAAAGGGAAGAAAGGCCAGCCAAAAAGCAGAAAGTAATGAGGAAAAAGAAAACTTTTAGGATTGAGGAATACCCGGATGAGGAAGAGATCCATGAGAATATTGCTCTTCAGGTTTCATCTGAGTGGACCGTAGATGACATTGAAAATGATCCTTTGCCGGCATATGAACATGAAAAGCCTCTTGCAATTAGGTCTCCATATGAGTATTTTCGTATGTTCGTTACTCCAGCCATGATAGATAACATAGCTATCAAACAAATTTGTATACAAGGCAACAAGACGTAAATAGTACTTTTTCAACAGATTCTGAAGAGATCATGAGGTTCATAGGTATTTTGTTGTTCATGGGTATTAATTCACTACCATCCCTCGAAGACTATTGGAAATCTGCTTTTAGGAGCCAACAGGTTGCAGATAGCATGGCGTCTAAGAGGTTTAGGTACCTTAGAAGTCATATTCATTTCAATGACAACACAAAAAAGGATAATGACAGATTCTACAAAGTAAGGCCTCTTTACACTGAACTAACTAATGCTTGCTTGAAAATTCCAGCTACACCCAAGCAATCTATTGATGAAGTCATGGTTGGTTTCAAGGGTTAAAAACTGCTGGAAACCTAAGGCAGTACATCAAAACAAAACCAGATAAGTGGGGTTTCAAACTTTTTTGTTGTGCAAGTCAAGATGGACTCATACATGATATACTCATGTATCAAGGCACAACAACTTTTGACACACATCCCATACAGCTGCCACAGGAAGAATCTAAACTTCCAATAAGTACAAAGATTGTTCTGGTACTTGCACAAACTATGAACAAGACAAACACATCAGCAATCTATGCTGACAATTTCTTTTCAAGTATGCCTTTGGTCAAGCTACTAAGAGATAAGTATAACTGCAGATACACTGGAACAGTACGTGACAATAGATGTGGTAAGCCACATCTGGTGCCTATCAAACAAATGGAAAAAAAACAGTGTGGTCAGGGGCAATTTTTGCTTCAACAACAATGATGGTGTCCTTGTTGTACGATGGAAGGACACCAAAGTTGTGACTTTAGTGACAACTGATATTGGGGTCGAGCCCATGAGTCTTGTTGAGAGATATAACAAGGGTACAAAGAGGAAAGAGAAAATATCGTGCCCTGCAGTCATCAAGAACTATAATGCCAACATGGGAGGTATTGACAAAAGCAACATGTTGGTGCATCTGTACAAAACACCAATGAAATCAAAACGTTGGTACATGCGGCTATTTGCCTATATTATTGATCTTGCTGTTGTGAATGCATGGGTGCTTTATTGCCGTGATTCTCGAGCAATAAAGCAAAAGTGCATGCAACTGAAGTTTTCAGGAATTCTATCTCTGAAATTGCAAGGTCTAAAGGACAAAACCTTAGAGGGAGCAGCCTAAGAACAACTCCAAGACCTTCACCAACTAATTCACCATGTACTTCCAATGGTGTTGGCATAGTGAAACCTGGGAGGGGAACACGTACAGAAATGCCTGATGACAGTGTTAGGAAAGACATTACTCTAATGCACTTCCCAATGGCAGGGCAAAGGCCGTTTACTTGCAAGTATTGCAGCACCTCGAAAAAAACGGTAACATCGTCATTCGTCTGTAGTGTATGCAAAGTAAATCTGTGCATAAAGACTGATAGAAATTGTTTCACAGACTTCCATCTTGCCAATTAGCAATATAGAATCATTGGTCTTCCAAATGAATCTCAGGAATATAGGGATTGAAACTTGCATCACTTTGCAATTTGGCATTGTTGATATTTGCTTCCTTTTTATATTTTTATAACAATTAAGAAATGTTTTGATACAAGTTCCATTTATGTTTTTTATATTGTCTGTTTGTATATTAAATTTAAAAAATTGTTTTGGTGTGTTTTATTAACAATTGCAAGTTTGCAACATAGAATTTTTTAATCACTTTGTCGGGGGCGGCCTAATATTTTCGGTCTTCGGAGATTGGCAATTGCTCGAAAACTAACCATCAGAAATCAATTTATATGGGATCAGTGACCTTGTATTGAGTTACTCTATCCACCATAGGGAGTTCAGTTCGAATTTCAAATTTTCGGACCCCTTGCGCGATGAAGGGTTAAAAGACGGTGCTGGCAAACCTTAATGGAGCAGATACCATTCCAACCTCAATCATATTAGCGAAAAACTTCCCTCATACATAATACAGTACAGTACATATGGTAAAACCCCTGTATCCACTGATTCATTATCCGCAGTTTCAGTTATTCACGGTTTACTGTGGCCCAAAAATACCCCTTAATTTTGAATAATAATGGCCCCAAAGTGCAAAAGTAGAAATGTTGGCAGTTCTTCAAAGCCTAAGAGAAGCCATGAAGGGCTTACCAATAGTAAAAAAGTGATAATTCTTCACCTATTGTGCATGATTTATCAATTAAACTTTACAACAAATATGTATAGGACTTACATATAGGGTTTGCTACTATCCGCAGTTCTGGTATCTATGGCAGGTCCTTGGAACATATTCCCCACAGATATGGAGGTCCTACTGTATTTAAATATTCTATATGAAAGCAGTAGTTGTAGAGGAGTGAAACAGAGTGCCTAGAGTAATGCAAAGTAATCAGATTCAGTTCTAGAAGGGGGAGGTTAGGTTCAATTCCTTGGATCCAAAGCTCCTCACCAGTGTTGAGGGGATCAACAGTTCTAAAAGTAGATAATTACAGGAGGGTCATGCTTATACAGTAGGTTAGGTTCCAGGCTACTGCTGTAATGTGAAACCATTTTTTCACTTTCAATTGCATATAAAAGCCTGATAACATGTTGACACTATCATATAATAAGTGAGCAATAAAGCTAGGCCTAAAAAATGCATATACAGCACACACATTGCTTAGCTTAAAAATTTCTTGTCCTTAGCTTATAGTAAGTAGTGAATATATTTATTGTAGAAAGTCTGAATAAATGAAGAATGGGTATAAATGAAAACTGCTGTATTAGCGAAATGCTATAAAACGGGGCCCTCCTGTAACTGAAACCAATACAGCAGGGCCCCGCTTTACGGAGTTTCACTTTACGGCGTTCCGCTAATACGGTCATTTCAAATTATGACCAAAACTCGCTATACGGCTCCCCCCACCTGACTTTCTAATACGGTCACCGCCCCACCCTGTTTGTTTACATTCTTCGTGAGCTCAGTAAGCACCAAGTCACTCCATTTTGTCTGGAAACTCCAAAATTTCAAATGTTTTTAAAAGTTATTTCATATTTTATATATACTCTAATAATTATGCTTATGTATACCTGTACTTAAATAAACTTACATACTGTGCTGGCATGCAGGTACACATTAAAATCAGTAAGAGTATCTTATGTCTCCAGACGTCATATTAGTAATGATAATAATAATCATCGAGTCTCATTTAAATGTCGTATATTACGTTAAATACACATTTTCATTAATCCATCTATGATATTTTTTCAAAATTATATAATAAACACGATACATAACATAAAAAGATGATAAATACACCCCACAATAGAATAAATAAACATAAATATGAGATGTGGTAGCAGACGACTTGCACAAGTGACGCCATATTAGAAATGATAATAATAATAATAATAATAATCACCGAGTCTCATTAAATGTTGTATATTACGTTAATATACACATTTTCATTAATCCATCCATGATATTTTTTTCAAAATTATATAATAAACACGATACATAACATAAAAAGATGATAAATACACCCTACAATAGAATAAATAAACATAAATATGAGATGTGGTAGCCAGATAACTTGTACAAGTGACGCCAAGAATAACATTTTCTCTAATCTAACATAAGAGAAAATGTGTTACTGGGGGTAACTGTAGAAAATTATTCCTTTCGTATGTATGTAAGTAAGTTTATTCAGGTATACACAAATACAGTTACATAGATTATCATACATAACATATGTGTAGAGAACCTAGGATAACCCAAAAAAGTCAGAGTGACTTATTTCCATTGCCTTCATTCAGAGCATCATTTCTTCTCAAAATGATGTTACATGAGAATGGGAGTGTTCTTCTTTATTTATTCTACCGTATCAATGTAGAGACAACCTGCACACAATGTAACTTGTAAAGTAAAAGGACACAAGTGCAACTAATGTGACATTTATTGTGGCAACGTTTCGCTCTCCAGGAGCTTTATCAAGCTTGATAAAGCTTGATACAGGCTTGATAAAGCTCCTGGAGAGCGAAACATTGCCACAATAAATGTCACATTAGTTGCACTTGTGTCCTTTTACTTTACATATTGTCGGTAATTCTACCAACTTTATCACAATGTAACTTGTACACAAACCAGACGTGTACACTTTGTTTGTTAACAAAACTTACCTTCGCCTGGTTTGTTTACATAACTCTGCGCCTGTACTCTCTCATGCACTCATTCTTTCTCTCTCTCATTTATTCGTTTTATCTCATTTACTTACTCCTGACCCTACATTAAGACTACAAATATTTTAAGGTAAGTAATGAGTGAACTGTATATACATTTTATCGCTCTGGGATGCTTAAATGTAATAGAATATTATGTGTAGGTGGGTTGGCCTGGTATGGTAGCCCGGCTGACTACCATACATACCACACTTGATTTTTTACAATAAATACTACTCATCTCACCCTATATTTTAAGGTAAGTAATGAGTGAACTGTATATACATTTTATCGCTCTGGGATGCTTAAATATCATAGAATTTTGTGTGGGTGGGGTGGCCTGGTATGGTAGCCTGGCTGACTACCATACATACCACACTTGATTTCTTACAATAAATACTACTTGTCTCACCCTAGATTAAGACTATAAATATTTTAAGGTAAGTAATGAGTGCACTATGTGTGTATTGTACTTTTTTTATTGTTTTTTGATGCCTGGTTCTATTGCTAACTTAATACAGTGGACCCCCGGTATTCGATGGCATCGCTATTCGATAAATCAGGTATTCGATGCATTATATCGCAAAAAAATTTCCTCGGTATTCGATTGAAAACCCGGTATTCGATACGATTCGTATGAGACCTGTCCACATGTGGCCTGAACTGCCCCTTGTGTGCCAGTGTTTACAAGCCAGCCAGTGTTTACCTGGAGTTTACCTGGAGAGAGTTCCAGGGGTCAACGCCCCCGCGACCCGGTCTGTGACCAGGCCTCCTTAGGTCAGTGTCCCAGGATGCGACCCACACCAGTCGACTAACACCCAGGTACCCATTTTACTGATGGGGAACATAGACAACAGGTGGAAAGAAACACATCCAATGTTTCTACTCTGGCTGGGAATCGAACCCAGGCCCTCACCGTGTGAAGCGAGAGCTTTAACCACCAGGCCACCATCTAAGGATACATTCGGTACATTCAATATTATCCATATTATCACTGTGTTTGGTGCTTGTTTCTGCAAAATAAGTCACCATGGGCCCCAAGAAAGCTTCTAGTGCCAACCCTGTGGTAAAAAGGGTGAGAATTAGTATGGAAATTAAGAAAGATTTTGAAGGGTTTGAGGCTAACCCTGAGAAGCCTATACCAGTTGTGGAATACTTTGTGCGTACTTCAAAAATTAAGGAAATGAGTTCACAGTGGGATGAAGTGCAAACCTTTATGGATGAAAATCACCCTAACACAGCTATTACAATGACAATGTTGTGGCCCATTTTAGACAAATCGTAAAGGAACGGGAAGTACAGAGCTCTATGGACAGATTTGTTGTGCGACAGAGGTCCAGTGACTCTCAAGCTGGTCCTAGTGGCATTAAAAGAAGAAGGGAAGTAACCCTGGAAAAGGACTTGCTACCTCAATCCTAATGGAAGGGGATTCCCCTTTTAAACACTAACACCTCTCCCCTCCTTCCATCCCATCAATCACCACCAGATCTTCATTAAAGGTAAGTGTCAATTATTTTATTGTAATTATTCTATTGCATTAAACTTAATATTTCATGTAGTAAAATTTTTTTTTTTCATACTTTTAGGTGTCTTGCACGGATTAATTTGATTTTCATTATTTCTTACGAGGAAAATTGATTCGGTTTTCGATATTATCGGTATTCGATGAGCTCTCAGGAACGGATTAATATCGAATACCGGGGGTCCACTGTATATGCTAGTGTAAACTTGTTATCTAGTGTTTGTATGCATTTGTAAGTGGAAAAAAAGGGTGTTCCACTTTACGGCGGTAGCCTGGAACCTAACCAACCGTATAAGTGGGGCCCTACTGTATAGTCAAACAACTAATATTCATAATTTTATTGGGCTATCCTACACATTAATTACTCTAAGACAATTTAAAAAATCTAAAACCTGTATATTTAACATAAATAAAAACTTACACAAGTAGGAATGATTTGATAAGTGTAAGATGTGCCTAGCTTTGGCCAGAAGACCTACTTCAGTGCTGTCTATTTTTAAGATATAATAACAATAACTATTTCCCAAGAAGATATCAGTTACATTAATAGGTTAACACTGTATACTATTTCTCACAAAGAAGAGCCCATCATCATTCATAACCTTTCGGACAGTCTTAAGTTAGAAGTAATACACTACTAACAATATAAGATATATATTGGATTTTTTTACACACTGACCATCTCCCACCAAGACAGGGCGACCCAAAAATGAAAAAAAACAAAAAATTGCTTTTACAATCACTTATACTATCACTGTCTTGCCAGAAGCACTCCGATATTACAGTTTAGATGCCCTTCAAACTGCAAACATTCCCACCCCTCCTTCAGAGTGGAGGCACTGTAATTCCCATCTCCAGGACTTGAATCTCTTCATAAATATTACCTTGCTCATCAAGTCATAACAGCCACTTGGTTCCACACTGGTTGTTTCACACCGAAGAAGAGCAACTCAAAAAACGAGAATGCATTCACCATCACTCATTCAATAGTTGTACTGCCAGAAGTGCATTGACATCACACTTCAAATGACCCTCTGAACTGAAATATCGCCACACCTTCAGAGCATAGGCACTATACTTCCCACTAAAAGGATTGTCCAGATAACCAGTTTACCAGAATCCCTTCATAAATCCTGTATCCCTTGTTTAAAAAAAAAAAAAAAAAAAAAAAAAAAATCAATGATCATCAAAGCAGAGTAACTATCATAAGTATAAAAATTTATAAAGAATTCCTAATCTTCTCTGCTTATATTTATACAACTTGATTTATGAATGTCATGGGTTTTGATACTACCAATACTGTACTTACCACTATTCCTGAATGACGCTCCCATTACAACAGTCTTATAGCCATACTTTTTATAATAGTTGTAAATGCGAGTGACACTTTTCACTCCAGGATCATCATGGGCCTCAAATGTCTTTTGATCTGTGTTTGCCACATACCTGATGATTAAAATGTGATGTATTAATATTTTATTAATACAGTATATAATATGTATTTTAATGGTCTTCAGGTAGACTATTTTGCATAATACAGGCTCAAATCATGAAGTTTTCTTCAAGGATTTTAAGTCACATACCTAAACAAGTAAAAGCATACAAGCTTACATAGGTAAAACCAATGGAACATAAAATATTTAATTCCATGGCAAATTAACAAATCTCTTAAGTTATGTAATGCGATCAGTTAGCTGCATTCATTATTCATACTAACTGAGGCTTTGCTGTATAATAAGGTTTTGTTGATAAATTATTTTGCAAGAACATCCTCACTGAGAATCTTTCCAGACATTTCAAACACCTTCCAATGTAAGTACAATTTGAAGAAATTGAAACATCTGTCAAAATATTCCACATGCTGATTTGGACAGCAACCACCCAGGGAGGTACTACCATCCTGCCAAGTGAGTGTAAAATGAAAGCCTGTAATTGTTTTACATGATGGTAGGATTGGTGGTGTCTTTTTTCTGTCTCATAAACATGCAAGATTTCAGGAACGTCTTGCTACTTCTACTTACACTTAGGTCACACTACACATACATGTACACGTTTATGTATACACACTCATCAGAGTTTTCTTTGATTTTATCTTAATAGTTCTTGTTCTTATTGCTTTTCCTTTTATATCCATGGGGAAGTGGAATAAGAATCTTTCCTCCATAAGCCATGTGCATTGTAAAAGTCAATTAAAATGCAGGGAACAATGGGCTAGTAACCCCATTTCCCATATAGCCTACTAAAAAGAAAGAAAACCGTCAAAGTGGGTTGTTTGAATGTACATGGAAGTTGTGCGAATAATAGGAGAGAGACGATTGTGGACGTTATGAACGAGAAGATGGATGTCCTGCTTAAGTGAAACAAAGCTGAAGGAGGCGGGAGAGTTTCTGTGGGGAGAAATAAATGGGGTTAGGTCAGGTGTTTCAAATAGGGTTAGAGCTAAAGAAAGAGTAGCAATAATGTTGAAGGATAAGTTATGGCAGGAAAAGAGGGAATATAAATGAATTAATTCAAGGATTATGTGGAGTAAAATAAGGGTTGAATGTGAAAAGTGGGTTACAGCAAGCGTTCATGCATCTGGAGAAGAGAGAAGTGTAGAGGAGAGAGAGAGATTTTGGGAAATGTGGAGCGAGTGCATGGGGAGTTTTGAAACAAGTGTGAGTCCTTGTGGTTGGGACTGCAATGCAAAAGTAGGTAAAAATGTTGTGGAGGGAGTAGTAGGCAAATTTGGGGTACCAAGGGTAAATGAAAATGGGGAGCTTTTAATTAAGCTATGTGTAAAAAGAGGTTTGGTAATAAGTAATACATATTTTATGAAAAAGAGGATAAATAAGTATACAAGTATATAGCATGTAATGAAAGTAGTTTGTTTGACTATGTATTGGTGGATAAAAGGTTGATGGGTAGGCTTCAGAATGTACACGTTTATAGAGGAGCAACTGATATATCGGATCATTATTTAATTGTAGCTACAGTTAGAGTAAGAGGTAGATGGGACAAAAGGAAAATGGCAACAGTAAGTAAGAGAGAGGTGAAAGTGTATAAAGTAAGGGAGGAGGAAGTTAGGGTGAGATATAAGCAGCTACTGGCATAAAGGTGGACTAGTGCAAGTATGAGTAGTGGGGGGGGAGGGGGGGTTGAAGAGGGTTGGAAAAGTTTTAAAAATACATTATTAGAAAGTCTAGAAAATATGGAGAACTTGCCCATCATTATATGTTTGTTCCCATAGGCTCAGAGACCCTTGGCTCATGGGGAAAGAATGCATCTAAATTCCTTAAGGAGCTGGGAAAAAGACTCATCAGGGTAACTAGGGATCCCAGGGCAGGTAGTTTTCTGTTCCAGCGGCTCAGTGCGGCTGTTCAAAGGGGTAATGTCTGCTGTATTTTGGGCACACGCCCCAGCTCTGAGGAGCTGGATGAGATTTTCGCCTTATAATCGGTGATACACACGTAACAACATGTACCGTATATGCCACCTTTATATCAACAATGTATCTCTTAAATCTTCTGTACCATATTATGTAATAAAATATTCTTATTAGAATGTGAGGCAAAAGTTTATGGCTAAAGGTGGGTGGGTGCAGGAGGAAAGAGGAGTGATTGGTGGAATGATGAAGTAAAGGGTGTGATAAGAGAAAAAGGTAGCTTTTGAGAGGTTTTTACAAAGCAGAAGTGTTATAAGAAGAGCACAGTATATGGAGAGTAAAAGAAAGGTGAAGAGAGTGGTGAGAGAGTGCAAGAGTTGATGATAGAGTGGGAGGTGCACTGTTAAGAAATTTTGATGAAAATAAGAAAAAAATTTGGAGTGAGTTAAACAAGTTAAGAAAGCCTAGGGAACGAATGCATTTGTCATTTAAAAACAGTAGGGGAGTTAGTAGATGGGGAGCTGGAGGTATTGGGTAGATGGCGGGAATATTTTGAGGAACTTTTAAATGTCGATGAAGAGAGGGAGGCGGTAATTTCATGCACTGCCCAGGAAGGTATAACATCTTTTAGGAGTGAATAAGAGCAGGATGTGAATGGGGGGGGGTGCATGAGGCATTACACAGAATGAAAGGGGGTAAAGCAGCTGGAACTGATGGGATCATGACATAAATGTTACAAGCAGGGGGGGATATAGTGTTGGAGTGGTTGGTATTTTTGTTTAATAAATGTATGAAAGAGGGGAAGGTACCTAGGGATTGGCAGAGGGCATGTATTGTTCCTTTATATAAAAGGAAGGGGGACAAAAGAGATTGTAAAAAATACAGTAGGGTTATTATTGAAAGAATTAGAGGTAAGACAGAGAGTAGGATTGTTGATGGGCAAGGAGGCTTTAGAGTGCGTAGGGGATGTGTAGATCAAGTGTTTACATTGAAGCATATTTGTGAACAGTATTTAGATAAAGATAGGGAAGTTTTCATTGCATTTATGGATTTAGAAAAGGCATATGATAGAGTGGATAGGGGGGCAATGTGACAGATGTTACAAGTATATGGAATAGGTAGTAAGTTACTAAATGCTGTAAAGAGTTTTTATGAGGATAGCGAGGCTCAGGTTAGGGTGTGTAAAATAGAGGGAGACTACTTCCCGGTAAAAGTAGGGCTTAGACAGCGATGTGTAATGTCCCCATGGATGTTTAATATATTTATAGATGGGGTTGTAAAAGAAGTAAATGCTAGGGTGTTCGGGAGAGGGGGTGGGATTAAATTATGGGGAATCAAATACAAAATGGGAATTTACACAGTTACTTTTTTCCTGATGATACTGTGCTTATGGGAGATTCTAAAGAAAAGTTGCAAAGGTTAGTGGACGAGTTTGGGAGGGTGTGTAAAGGTAGAAAGTTGAAAGTGAACGTAGATAAGAGTAAGGTGATGAGGGTATCAAATGATTTAGATAAAGAAAAATTGGATATCACATTGGAGAGAGGAAATATGGAAGAAGTGAATGTTTTCAGATATTTTGGAGTTGACGTGTCAGCAGATGTGTTTATGAATTATGAGGTTAACCATAGAATTGAGGAAGAAAAAAAGGTGAGTGGTGCGTTGAGGTATATGTGGAGAAATAAAACGTTATCTATGGAGGCAAAGAAGGGAAAATATGAAAGTATAATGGTACCAACACTGCTGCAGCGAGGAGGCAGTTGGAGATGTCCTGTCTAAGGGTGTGGCATGTAAAGAGTACATAACCTTTATTCGACGCATGTACACGCCCTCATTAAAAGGCTAAGGGTTGGACAATGGGGCCCCAGTGTCAGATCAGTATCTAGGTTCAGCTAATGAAAAAGTGGATCAGGCAATTGTGGAGGTGACATGGTTATCACTCATGTTTTCACCCTTGTCATTTCCATTCGAGAGCTGGTTGAAGCATAGTGGTCGGAATTCTACAAGCTCCAATTCTGCCTCGATTACCGTGGCGTGCGCTAATACCTATTGCTGTACATCGTGTATATACTTTACATATTGCTGTTTATACTTGATGAAAGAAAATATAAGTCAAAGTTTTTGGCTGTGTTTATTTTGCTCCCTTTACACCGAGGATAACAGGCGTTTTTGTTCCTGAGTTGTAATAAAGGGCAATTTGTGGTGTAAATATTATGCAGAGAATTCGAAGTGTGGAAATTAGGAGGTGTGGAGTTATTAAAAGTATTAGTCAGAGGGCAGAAGAGGGGGTCTTGAGGTGGTTTGGTCATTTAGAGAGAATAGATCAAAGTAGAATGACATGGAGAGCGTATAAATCTGTCAGGTAAGAAAGGCGGGATAGGGATTGTCCTCGAAAAGGTTGGAGGGAGAGGGGCTTGGACTTCCAGCAAGCGTTCGTGAGCGTGTTTGATAGGAGTGAATGGAGACTAATGGTTTTTGGGACCTGACGAGCTGTTGGAGTGTGAGCAGGATAATATTTAGTGAAGGGATTCAGGGAAACCAGTTATTTTTATATAGACGGACTTGAGTACTGAAAATGGGAAGTACAATGCCTGCACTTTAAAGGGGGGAGGGGGGGGGTTTGGGGTATTGGCACTTTGGAGGGATATGTTATACTATATCTTTATATATGCTTCTAAACTGTTGTATCTGGGCACTTCTGCAAAAACAATGATTGTGTATGAGTGAGGTGAAAGTGTTGAATGATGAAAGTATTTTCTTTTTTGGGGATTTTTTCTTTCTTTTTGGGTCACCCTGCCTCGGTGGGAGATGGCCGATTTGTTGGGGGGGAAAAAATTAAAACTTTTTGGAATTTAATATTTGCATGTGAAAGAGCTGAGTTGTCTTTAATATTTATTGTTTAATTTTTTTTTTAAGTTTCCAATAGCAATAACATTATCTTTTCTTAAATCCATTCCATTCCTCTACAACACTTTCTTTGAAGATTGAGACACTTATGCAACATATGGGAATCTTTATTAATGAAATGTTTTGCCACACTGTGGCTTCATCAGTCCAGTACAAAGCAGTGAGGGATAAGGAGAGCAGGAGTTTCAGGTAATCAGTCCCTCAGCTTGGAATTGATGTATTCAGTCCATCACTTGTAGAATAGTGATGGACTTTCTACAGGAGTGATGGACTGAACACATAGATTCCAGGCTGAGGGACTGATTACCTCAAACTACTCCTTTCCCTACCCCTCTCTGCTTTGTATTGGACTGATGAAGCCACTGTGTGGCGAAACGTTTCCTTAATAAAGATTCCCATATGTTGCATAAGTGTCTCAATCTTCAACTTGTCGGTTTCTTAACCATTTACCACAACACTTTCTTTAAAACTACTCTTTAGTATCTCTTCAGCACTGTCCTAGTTCATTACAATGTCCTCTTTCTCCCTGTTGATTCTAGGAAATCTTCCTTATCAATACTTTAAAAAAAAATTTATAATCTTATATGTGGTTGTCTCTCCTCTTTCTGTCTATCAGGTTGTGAAGGAATGTAATGCTTTCAGCCTTTCTTTGCAACTCTAATCTTTTAGCCCTGGTAACCATTTTGTAACTCCTCTTTGTTGCATATATACTTATTGCAAGCTTTCATCTCTACTCTTAGTAAGCAAAAATGGAAGGTGCTGATATTGAGAGCAAATACTTGCCTGACCTGGTACCTATCCTTGTACTGCTGCTATAAAATTAGCCAAATCCATTAATGAGGCAGCCATGGTGCTTTACTCAGCTTAGGTTTCCCTGGTTACTATATGTTAACTGAATTGAGACCTGGCTGAAAAATCCACCAAGCCCTATTAATGTAACTTTTGCACTCTTAGAACTCAGATCAGACCTGTTTAGATGTCAGTTCATGATAGTTTAGCCAAACAATGTACATTCTTATTGTACAACACACATCCCTAAGCACTCAATTTCTTATTAAATCTCTCCAATCAAATGTAATCTAATGGTATGTCATTTCTCCAGTAGAACACAGTACTTCAGTGATCCTCCAGTTTCAGAAACTGGGTACATTATGTAGGAGTAGGATCCTTCCCATCCCTCAAATTAGCTCCATTTGCAAATTGCCACAATGTAAGGTATCTGAGATCCAGAATTGCCTGTCACCATACCTGGTTACAAGCAAGATGATCTACAGCTATTTGTAGTACCTTTTCTTTAAGCAAACTTATGACAATTTTTTGACCCAGAATAAACATAATACTACCTGGTGATGTCACATCTTATCTCAAGCTCAAAGATGAAAGCCCAGCCAAACCTTTTTTCCTAATTACCATCAATGAATTCTCCTGGTTCTCCCTTATGTTGAAGCATTCCTTTCTTAGTACATTGTCAAATGCTCCAAACTTCAAAACACTTGTGACTTGACCTGATCTTAATTTCATCCTCTCCTTAACTCTTCTCATTTCCTATAATTTCATTGCCTTTCCTGTCTTCTGCCTGATTGGTTCTGTCTTATGGGGGTTTCGTCCTGCTGGGATTTGGTCTTACCCTCGAGGGCCATTAGCTCTCCTGCAGTTTCTCTTTTCTCTTGTTCTTAGACTACCTCTTACTTTTACTACTACTAATCTCTTTACTAAGTGTCCACACTTGACACATTTTTCCCTACCACTACCACCGTCTTATTGTCACCTCTACCACTGTTGCACTACTTTTTCTCCTATTACTTTTACTGCCACTAACACCACTATTATTACCATGATTACTACTACCACCACTACCATTACCACTTTAATACTATTCCCTCCAACTGTCCCTGCTCCTCCTCTCGTACATATTCCGGCTCCCTTCTCTTTGCGCTTCTGTGTGACTAGATAATGGTCCAAGTCGGACTGAAATGCAAAACACTGCCATAAGTGTCAGTCTTCATGTGCAGGTTATCTGTGTATTGTTCCAGTCATGGCTTTGTGCCCTTTTCTTCTTTCTGTAATGAATAATTACTGCCTAACACAGAGTAACATGAAGTACAACCACCTCCAATTAAGCGACTGAAAAATATGCTGGTGAAAAAGGAGTCAAGCATACAGGGAAATAATTTTTATGCTACCTATGACCTACTTAAATAGCATATTGGGGCTCGCCAATTGAGAACTACTGCTGTATTCCATGGTGTTTTCTCTAATTTTTGTACATACCATTTGTTTTGCCTGCAGTATAACAGTTACTCAAGTTTCTTACAGTACAGGTATCACAAAAACATTCTCTTGCAACTTTTCTAAATTCATATTCACCATGATTATGCACATCCAAAGATTTGTTTTTTAGGCAGTACAAGTACATAATCAATCCTTCAACATATACCCCATGTACAATTCAAACTTACCAATCGAGGATACGTCCAACAAAAGGAGATATAAGCGTCACGCCCGCCTCAGCACAGGCAACAGCCTGAGCAAAACCAAACAACAATGTCAGGTTACAGTGAATTCCATACTCTTCCTCAAGAACCCTGGAAACAATTGAGAATAATAACATGATAATTATGACTCACGAAATTGTAATGACACGATTGCAAACAAACCATACCACGGGTGGGGTTTGAGTTTTGAGACTCTCTGACTGCGGAATCAAACCCCACCCGTGGTATGGTATGATAATCATCAAATGTATAGACAGTGATGACCCTAATCCTAAAAGAGCATCTGTGGTAGTTTAACTTTGACTTTGTAATCTTTACTTTGGGAATCTAAGTGTACCTATTTTACCCTCAGTTAGCTTAAAAAAAAAAAGTCATATTGCAATACTGGATGATAAACACTATACTGGAACTGTAATTGTATGCAAATACCAACAGGTCTGTGCCTGTACATATGTTGGTACAAAGGAAGGTTAAGTGCATGGGAGTATCTTGAGGCAAGGGAGCACCACAGGATGTACACTGGATTAGACTGGCTCCTAGATGCCTGCAAAGTATGGTGTAAGCTAAAGGTTCAAATAACATTAAGATACCCTAGTTCTGTGTAATAACACTAGAAGTGCTAATAAGGACAGATTCTCAACATCTATCTTTGTCTCATTCTTTACTAACTAGCATCTGCTCATTTTATGAGGCAAACTAGTTTATCTGTTCATTTCATGAGGCAAACTAGTTAATCTGTCCATTTCATGAAGCAAGTCACTTTGACTATTTTGGGTTATCCTAGGTTCTCTACACATATGCTGCCATGCAAGATAATCTATGTAACTGTATTTGTGTATATCTGAATACACTTAGTCTTTATAATACGTGCATAAGCACTGCAGGATCCTTGCAGATTTAGTACTTTATAGATAATATTATCACATGCACTGCATATATTATGCACTCTGCATGCATATTGGTTATAATGCCCCATGAAGTTTCCCCAATGAAAAGTGTCACATTCATTGTCAGAAATGATGTAGACTATTTTTGCATCATGGTGGCTACGCTTGGTTCTTTTAAGGTTTTTGATGGCTGTGGAAGTGATTATCGTGATGTCATCATTTCTGGACAACGTGTTGATAACACTGGGAACATTACAGGTTAGGAAAAATTATGTACACCTACCATCCGACTTACGACCGAGTACGGTTCCGAGAAACTGGTCGTAAGTCGAAATGGTCGCAAGTCGAACTTTACTACTGAATATCAACAAAACATTTTTGTAATGACTTTATTTTATTGTTTTATTTTGGTATTTCATGTTTTACTTTACTTTTTATGTTGTTAGTACGTACTGTATTTTATACTGTAAGGTTTAGGATAAACACTGTGTACAACACAAATAGTTGTTTATTTCCCAGAAATTTGGCATAAAAAACACGGTCGTAAGTCGAGTGGTCGTAAGTCGAGCAGGTCGTAAGTCGGATGGTAGGTGTACTTATCAATTTATTTGTTTCCCATGTAACAATAATTTAAAGTGATCTTTTCCTGCAGTAGTCTATGAAGTACAATGTATATTCTGGTCCATTCCTTGTCCCATGATACTCCTGTTTACCTCACCTTCCCTTGTACCTGTGTATTTTTTTTTTTTTAACACATTGGTTGTTTCCCACCGAGGCAGGGTGCCCCAAAAAGAAAGAAAAATACTTTTATCATCATTCAACAGTTTCACCATCACTCATACATAATCACTGTCTTTGCAGAGAAGCTCCGATACGACAGTTTAGAAACTCCTCCAAACTGCCAATATCCCAAACCTCTCCTTTGAAGTGCAGGCATTGTACTTCCCATTTCTAAGACTCAAGTCTGGCTAACCTGTATGTATTATGAATGCCTGTATATATCCTCCTCTATTGACTCTATAAAGCTTTGTGTGTGAATAAAACATTAATAAAAGTTATCTACTGCTTCCAAGTGTCATCTGTGCAAAGGGTACACTCTCGATTTTAAATTTAAATCACTTTAATTAATGCTCACTTTGCTGCCTGAATTCCTTCCCAGGTAGAAGCCAGTTTAATAAGTATGCGCTCCTTGTCGATTTCCTCTTCAGCAAACATGGAGATGAATCTACGGGCCTTGCAGATGCTGGCTTCTTTATCAAAACTCAGTCGTGCATCAACCTCAATGCTTACGCGCCCAGGGACAATCTTAAGGATTTCGCAGCCAAACAAAACGAATAGCTTGTCCATTGCATGGGTAACCTTTTCAGCCTTGTTACTGGAGAGAGAACAATATCTTTAATTAATTTAAGCTAATATCACCAATTAAAAAAAATAATCAATTCAGGGGTTATTGCGAGTTAACCAAATACTGTGTAAAAAACAATTACAACTACAGAAACAATATACAATTACAAAATACATAAAAGGTATAAATTAAAAATACAGTACATAAAAGAAAAAAACTTAAACACCTGTATAACTATACGAATGACATATGCAGTATTAGGACATTTAGATGTTTTACCCTCCAGTGGTTCACCAATCTAACATGGAATAGACATTGGTAAATTCTCAATATGACAGACTTCTGAAGTAAGAAAATCTACTGGATACACTGTATTTTTAACTCATTTATTTTCAATGTTCACTGTAGTATATCTGTAATCTACTGTTTACTAAGTATACTGTAGAGCACTTTAGAGCCTTTTCTATTTTTTTTAACATTATCCTGATTTAATACAATCAGTCAATCCTCATTATTAATCCACATTGAGGGTTAACTATGTATAATATTATGGGTGAGGTCAGGTGCTACAAAGGATGGAGGGTGAAGTTAGTCGATGGCTTTGTTCTGCTTAGGTAGAATGTGTCTGGCAAGTACAGTGGACCCCTGGTTAACGATATTTTTTCATTCCAGAAGTATGTTCAGGTGCCAGTACTGACCGAATTTGTTCCCATAAGGAATATTGAGAAGTAGATTAGTCCATTTCAGACCCCCAAACATACACGTACAAACGCACTTACATAATTACACTTACATAATTGGTCGCATTGGGAGGTGATCGTTATGCGGGGGTCCACTGTATTCACAAGTCATAATACTGCCTGTGTTTTAAACAATGGTGTTGGTAGTTCTGAAGAGGGCAGACCATAATCACCATCAACAATGAACATCTGACCCCTTAGTGACAAATTTGAAAGGAAGCTCCTACATTAGTTTCCCCACATAATAAAAGTTCATAAGTACGTACACAAGAATGGTAGGCCCACTTCTCAATCATATATTTCTCATGAAATTAGACACGTGTGCAACTCTTGGGTATCTTTATTGAGGAAACGTTTCGCCACACAGTGGCTTCATCAGTCCATACAAAGGATAAACATGAACAGGAGGAGAATGAGGTAATCAGTCCCTTAGCCTTGATTCGATGTGGTCAGTCCATCAATCTTGAATAGAATATGGCATATGAGCGGAGCAGCAGTTCATAAACTGTATGGCAGGAGAGGTGCAGCAGTCGTAGGTGGTGTCACATTAGTCCAAAGTGGAAGTAGGTCGTACCCAAGGGATAGGCAAGCGAAGAATTCCCAAGTATTAAGATCCCAAGAAGTTGCAGTGTCTGACAGGATTGTAGATGAATGGTTCAAAGAACCAGTGGACAAATGTGACACCACCTACGACTGCTGCACCTCTCCTGCCATACGGTTTATAAGCTGCTTCTCCGCTCATATGCTGTATTCTATTTAAGATTGATGGACTGACCACATCGACTCAAGGCTGAGGGACTGATTACCTCATTCTCCTTCTGTTCTTCATGTTTATCCTTTGTATGGACTGATGAAGCCAGTGTGTGGCAAAACGTTTCCTCAATAAAGATACCCAAGAGTTGCACATGCGTCTAATTTAACAACGTGTCGGTTCTTTGAACCATTCATCTACATATATTTCTCCAGCTTATTTTTGAAGCTACCTAACATTTAACTTCAGTACATCTAACCTTGCTACACTATACATAGGTTCATCCATCCTCTCTAGGTTTATCTGTCTGCAACATGACAGAGCTAACTGTGTGAGCAAAAATACGACATACTGAATTCATCTCTAATAATAATATAAGTACATGTATTTTATATAATTTCTCCCCAAACCAGATTTTTTTTTTTTGACAGTCTTAACAACTGAAGGCAGCTGAAATGCCCGAGACAGATTCTAGATATCCACCTTATCAAAGAAGATAAGTCCCCATGCTAAACGAAGACATCAAAGATATGACAGATAGTTAAATAAAAAAAATTAATGATATTGTCCCATTGTGCATAGCATATGTTTGACTGTAAAAATGAAAAGATTGTTACAGCACAGAAGGGGGGAGGAGAGGTCTGAGTGAGTCACCACTATGCCTGGCTGGCCACAATTGCACATGTTATGCATCACATCCTCAAGGTGGAAGCCCTCACCACAAGTGCAGCTTCAGTAGCAAGGGAAACTTTAATTAGTACATAAATAAAAAAATTAATTGAACATTCATGTTTTATAGAGTAAGTGCATACAGGCAGGCCCTGTTTTACAGCGCTTCACTTTTCAGCATTTCGCTAATACAGCGGTTTTCAATTATACCCATTCTTCATTTATTAGAACTTCCTACAATAAATATATTCAACACTCACTATAAGCAAAGGATGAAAATATTTAAAGGTAAGTAATGTGTACTGTATATGCATTTTTTATGCCTAGCTATATTACTCACTTAATAGTACATGTTAGTGTAAACATGTTATCAGGCTTTTATATGTAGTATTTGAAAGTGAAAAAAGGCTATGATTTATTTTATAGCAATATTTGCTTTACAGTAGTATTCTGGCACCTAACCTGCTGTATAAGTGGGGGCCCTCCTGTACACCTTTGTCATTCTTGTGTACTGTTTAACAGTGCAGTAGTGTGTATACCTGTGTTCACATAGGTGTCGTGTGTATTGTTGCTCGGAGGTGTTACAGCAGTGTATACAGTACATGAAGATGGTGCAGTTATTGTGTAAGTGTCGTCACAGGTGTGTGTACTGTTGCTGTGACAGGTGTTATGTAATGCAGGTGTTACTCAATGCCTGTCATAGCAACAGTGCATACCAATGAGACAGACAGACACACACAAAATAACTGCACCATCTTTATATAGTATATCCATCAATGTAACACCTCTCACAGCAACAGTACACACAACAACTGTGTGAACACAAACACTACTCCACTGTTATACAGTACAGTACTATCAAGAATCATTGAGGCTGTGTGAGAATCTGTAATGTATTGTAATACAGAACACTAGGACAATGCTGTATACTCTTACTCTGTAAAAATGAATGTTAAATAAAAAAATATATAATTAAAGTTTCCCTTGCCAGTGAAGCTGATATGTCAACACCAGTTTGATCTGACCTTGATCAGCTTATTTGTTAAGCATGTAAACTAGTCTCATATGTATGTCCCTTTTTATCATAGTCCACAGGTCTGTTTGATTCTCAAGACATGCAGATGATGTCCAGTTAATGACTGATTTAAAGCAGGACTATTTATTGAAACAGCCATCATTTGGTTTCTTCTCCACTGGGCATGCCCATCCTATACCACAGGAACTATGCAATTTATATGAGGAACAGTCCCTAATAGATACATGCAGAATTCATTGAGAGTAACAGAATCAAAAGTGAATCAGTCAATCTCTCCTGTATCTCTGCTCTACACCACAAGTCAGCTGGACTGTACTACTTGCCTAACAACACTGCTACCTTACCACCTCAACTGCTGGCCATTAACTGCCACACCATACGGTCGTCCGCCTGTCCGTTAAGTGTTCCTCAAGCAATCCCCTAACTTATTTGCAGTACTGAATTTACACAAGACTTTCCTGCGAGTTATTTACCCAATTTAATTTTTTCGTCTGCCCTTTATTATTTTTTCCCCAAGTTATTTGTCTATTTATAAAAAAAAGTGTTAAATCATATTGTATATCTATCCTGAAAGCAGTATTAATGTCAATAATTTGGTGGGTTGTAGTGCAAGCTATCACAACAAGAGATGCTGCACAGTACTGCATATGATTACCGTGTTTGAGTTCTTACACATGGGTGTTTGTATTTGTCCCTTCACACAGGTGTTTGCACTGGTGTTGTGATGCGAGCCGAGCAACGCAGGTGCTGTGTGATGCGCTAAGCAACGCATGTACTGTGTGTGATACGCAAAACAATGCAGGTGCTGTGTGACGCGCTAAACAACGCAGGTGCTGTGTGACGTGCCAAACAACGCAGGTGCTGTGTGACGTGCCAAACAACGCAGGTGCTGTGTGACGTGCCAACAAACGCAGGTGCTGTGTGACGTGCCAAGCAACGCAGGTGCTGTGTGACGTGCCAAGCAACGCAGGTGCTGTGTGACGTGCCAAGCAACGCAGGTGCTGTGTGACGTGCCAAGCAACGCAGGTGCTGTGTGACGTGCCAAGCAACGCAGGGGGGCGTACCGGTGTGTGACGTGCCAAGCAACGCAGGTGCTGTGGAGTGCCAAGCAACGCAGGTGCTGTGTGACGTGCCAAGCAACGCAGGTGCTGTTGGTGAGACGTGCCAAGCAACGCAGGTGCTGTGTGACGTGCCAAGCAACGCAGGTGCTGTGTGACGTGCCAAGCAACGCAGGTGCTGTGTGACGTGCCAAGCAACGCAGGTGCTGTGTGGACGTGCCAAGCAACGCAGGTGCTGTGTGACGTGCCAAGCAACGCAGGTGCTGTGTGACGTGCCAAGCAACGCAGGTGCTGTGTGACGTGCCAAGCAATGCAGGTGCTGTATAATGTGCCAAGCAGCGCAAGTGTTGTGTAATGTGCCAAGCAGTGCAGGTGCTGTGTAATGTGCCAAGCAGTGCAGGTGCTGTGTAATGTGCCAAGCAATGCAGGTGATGTGTAATGTGCCAAGCAGCGCAAGTGCTGTGTAATGTGCCAAGCAGCGCAAGTGCTGTGTAATGTGCCAAGCAGCACAAGTGCTGTGTAATGTGCCAAGCAGCGCAAGTGCTGTGTAATGTGCCAAGCAGCGCAAGTGCTGTGTAATGTGCCAAGCAGTGCAGGTGCTGTGTAATGTGCCAAGCAGCGCAAGTGCTGTGTAATGTGCCAAGCAGCGCAAGTGCTGTGTAATGTGCCAAGCAGCACAAGTGCTGTGTAATGTGCCAAGCAGCGCAAGTGCTGTGTAATGTGCCAAGCAGCGCAAGTGCTGTGTAATGTGCCAAGCAGTGCAGGTGCTGTGTAATGTGCCAAGCAGCACAAGTGCTGTGTAATGTGCTAAGCAACCCAGGTGTTAATGATGGACAATCATGACAATATATTTTATCCTCAAGACGAAACTTATTTTACATGCACACATGTACATGTACACATGTACATGTACTGCCCCCACCACACACGTGATCACACAAACAATCAAAAAGAAAAGTGTCGGTGAACAAAACTAGGCAAGACCCATTAGCTGAGGGAATTAAAGATTACTGTTATTGTGAAATTCCAAAAATGTAAATGTGGATGCTTTCTTAGTGATGGTAACATTCCTGTCATAATGCTACTAATTATTATTACTGGTGGCAAGATATATAATGCAAGGAAGTCTAAAGTGCTTTTCCACCACTTGTCAGTAATGGCTTTTTTTTTTTTTGGTAGGTAAGACACATAGGCAACAGTTAGGCAACTTTATTCCGAAACGTTTCGCCTACACAGTAGGCTTCTTCAGTCGAATACAGAAAGTAGGCAGGAACAGTAGAGATGTGAAGACGATGTAATCAGTCCATCACCCTTGAAGTCGTAGAATTTGAGGTTGTCAGTCCCTCGGCCTGGAGAAGTTCAGTTCCATAGTCAGGAACTATCTGAGCAGACAGCAGTACAGACAGAGCACTACAGCATAGCGCAGCAGCAGCAGCAGGCGCAGCAGAGCTAGCAGTCAGCAGAGCAGCAGCAGTAGTCAGCAGCAGCAGCAGCAGCAGCAGCAGCATGCAGAGAGCAGTCAGCAGCAGCTAGCAGTCAGCAGAGCAGCAGCAGTCAGAGTAGCAGCAGAGCAGAAGCAGTCAGTCAGCAGCAGTAGAGCAGCAGAGCAGCAGCTAGAGCAGCAGTAGAGAGCTAGTCAGTAGCAGTAGCAGCAGCTAGAGCAGCACAGCAGCAGCAGCAGCAGAGCAGCAGCTAGCAGCAGCAGCAGCAGACAGTCAGTCAGTCAGCAGTAGCAGCAGAGTAGTCAGCAGCAGCAGCAGCAGCAGTCAGCAGAGGCAGCAGAGAGCAGCAGCAGCAGCAGCAGTAGCAGCAGGCAGCAGTAGCAGCATGCAGCAGCAGCAGCAGCAGCAGCAGCAGCGTCAGCAGCCAGCAGCAGCAGCAGCAGCCAGCAGCAGCAGCAGCACAGCAGCAGCAGCAGCAGCAGCAGCAGCAGCAGAGCAGGCAGCAGCAGCAGCAGCGAGCACAGCAACAGCAGCACACCAGCAGAGCAGCCAGCAGCAGCAGCACAAGCAGCAGCAGCAGCACAGCAGCATGCAGCGCAGCAGCAGCAGCAGCAGCAGCAAGCAGCAGCAGCGCAGCAGCAGCAGCAAGCAGCAGCAGCAGCAGCAGCAGCAGCCAGCGCAAGACAGCAGCAGCAGCACAGCAGCAGCAGCAGCAGCAGCAAGCAGCAGCAGCAGCAGCAGCAGCAGCAGTGTAGCCACTGAGAGGTCAGGTCCCTCTCAGATCCAACAGTCCTCACTTGAAAGGGTTGTCAAAGGCGTTTTCTGTACCAAGAGGCCATGTGTTGCAGTGTCAGACAAGATGAACATCAAAATGGTATACAATACCTGTCGGTATTGTATACCATTTTGATGTTCATACCAACCTGTCGGTATTGTAAACCATTTTTTTTTTTTTTTTTGGAGTATAAGAACATAAGCAAGAAGCACTGCAGCAAGCCTACTGGCTTATGCTAGGAGGGTCGAATTCACACCCGCTCAATATTATTATTATTATAATAACCCTTTGACTATTTTGGTCATATATACAGTGGACCCCCGACCAATGAAGGCATTGTCTAACGATAAATTCAAATAACGAAGCGTTTGAGCGTAAAATTTTTGGCCCGACCAACAATGAAAAACTTGACAAACACGATTTGTCCCAAACGCGTCCACATGTCCCATCTGGCCTGAGCGCGCCTTAGCTGCCCTCCCTTCAGTTAGTGTGCCAGTGCTTACAAGCCAGATCAGCCACACCCACGCATACATTCGGTACATTTTGTATTATTCCAGTGTTTTTAGTGCTTGTAACTGCAAAATAAGCCACCATGGGCCCCAAGAAAGCTTCTAGTGCCAACCCTGTGGTAAAAAGGGTGAGAATTTAAATTTAAATGAAGATCATCACAAAGTATGAAACTGGAGTGCGTGTCTCCGAGCTGACCAGGTTGTATAACAAACCCCAATCAACCATCGCTACTATCTTGGCCAACAGAAAGGCAATCAAGGAAGCTGTTGTTGCAAAAGGTGCAAGTATCTTTTCAAAACACAGATTCTCTATCATTTCATAAGAATTTTTTTTTGTTTTTTTTCAAATATTTTGCGACACCAGAAGACACTTCAGGATTTGGGGTTGCGACAGTCAAAGGGTTAATTGTTATTATTGATGAGAGAAGCATTAACAATATCTCCATCCCAAGAATGTGGAAAACAGCATAATAGAGTAATGGGACTGAATTACAGTACACTGTTAGGTACAAAGCCTGTACACGACTTGCTGAGGTCCTAACCAACTACTGGCAGGACCCAAATGAATTTAAACCTGACTGAACAATGCATAAATCATCTGCTGCATAATCATGACCCCTTTATTTTTTTAATGTATCAAATGCCATAGCATTAATGTTTTAATATTTGTTTTGGAAACACTAGGCCCCTGGCAAGGGCATATTGGCTCCCTAAGAGCATGGTCAAGAGTCGAGACACTGCCCCCCCCCCCCAACCACAACTAGGCAAGTAGTGTGCACACCGAGATATGTACTATATATTCATTCATGCGTGTTGTTGACCTGTCATTATACCCTGAATGCAAATTTTATGAAAACATAAATGAATTATATATTTGAAAAGCTACAAAGTCATCCTGAGCAATCCTGAGCATTCAGAAAAAAAAAAAAAATTTGCTGCTGGCAATCCAGTACTGTACTTCCCCACTGGGAGACTAACCCTGAGCCAGACTTTCTCTTAGGCTCCAGCAATCACTAATTTCCACACACCAGCAATGACCAGTAGAGCAGGCAGGGCTCAATTCACAAACACCTCTTAGTCAAGGCTGCATTAATCAGAGAATGTTTCTCAATACAAGTGAACACATTCATGATTCATGCTAACCTCACATCAAACATGCATTTTTTATATTACAGTATACAGTAATTATATTTTAACTAAAACACATTATTAAATGGTACTTATATACATATCATAGCTGTACTGTAGTTAGTCTCAAGGTCTACTATTGAAGCCAGGCCTGATTTATTATTACTTTATGCAGGAAAATAGCCAAATATTTAAATACTCTGCTTTACTTATTATTAATGCTGGAAAATACTTGTGAACAAGCATGTCAGCCATTGTATACAAAATCCTTTTGTCAATAAAATCTACTGTACAAGCATAAATACTTACTGTCCCTTTTTCATGCCATATTCCACAGCTTCATTAATAAGAGACTCATACTGGGGCATTTTGGCTGCCTGGAGAATGAGTGAGGGGTTTGTGGTGGCATCTGTCGGCATGTATTTTTTCATGGCTGAGGAAAGAAAAAAATATTTATCTTCCAAAATAAATAAAATACACACACACACACACACACACACACAATACACACACACACACAATACACACACACACACAATACACACACACACACAATACACACACACACAATACACACACACACAATACACACACACACACACACACACACACACACACACACACACACACACACACACACACACACACACACACACACACACACACACACACACACACACACACACACACACACAGTGGAACCTCAAAAATCGAACCTAATCCGTTCCAGGAGCTAGTTCTAAATTCGAAAAGTCTGAAATTCGAAGCAATATTTCCCATAAGAAATAATGGAAATACAATTAATCCGTTCCACAAACCCAAAAATACACACAAAAAATACATTTTATAGGAGATTAATTACAGTTTTACATACAACAAATACATACCATAGTTTTTAATTATGTATAGTAATACATATAAAATAACATTTTTACTTACCTTTATTGAAGATTGGTGATGGCATCTGGAAGTTAGGGAGGAGGAGAGAGGGAGTTGGGGTTAGTGCTTGGAAGGAGAATCCCCCTCCATGAGGACTTCAGGTAAAGCCCTCTCTGGGGTTACTTCCCTTCTCTGTCTTTTAATGCCACTAGGACCAGCTTGAGTCACTGGACCCCTGTCTCACAAAATAACTGTCCACAGTCCTCTGTTTCTGGCGCCTCTTTAACATTTCCCTAAAATGGGACATGGTTCTGTCACTGAACTTGTTGCAAAGATGGCTTGTTTCAGCTTGCTCAGGGTGGTACTTCTGCACAAACATTTGAACATCATTCCACTTGGCACAAATCTCCTTAATCTTCGAAGAAGGCACCTCATCCACTCCCTATATTAACACCTTTCGCAACATCAGCTTCCTTGATTTGTTCTTTCTTTGACAGGATAGAACCGATGGTTGACTTGTTTTTCCCATACAATCTGGCAAGCTCAACAAGTCTCACACCATACTTTTTTATTATTTCCTTCTTCACATCTATGGTGTTTCTCACTTTCTTTACCACAGGGGTACCACTAACAAGTTTCTTTGGGCCCATGGTAGCTTATTTCACAGTCCCACAAGCACTAAACACAACGAAATATTCGTAAAACGCGTGAATGAGAGCGCAGGTTAGTGTTCACTCAAGCATAAACAAAGCTAGACTGCTCACGGTGCCTGCGCGGGGACGTGGACAGAGCGGGTGGCAGACAGGTCCCGTACCCGGCGGTCCAAAAATAAAGGCGCGTTCGATAATAGGGACACAGTTTGGCCGAAAAAATGGTCCTATTTTCGAAACGTTCGATATGTGATACGTTCGATTTTTGAGGTTCCACTGTATGTCTTTTCTAAATCCATAAATGCAATGAAAGCTTCCCTACCTTTATCCAAATACTATTGTTCACTAATATGCTTCATTGTAAACACTTGGTCTACACATCCCCTACTTATTCTAAAGCCTCCTTTTTCATCTGCAATCTTGCTTTGTCTTGCCTCAAATTCTTTCAATAATAACACTAATGTGGAAAATTAAATTTACCTGGATGTAACTCATAAGATACATACCAGTAAATGATAAAGATAATTATTCTTTATCAAGGTTACAGAGACAAGTAGGAATTTTAGGACACCTAGGTCGCAAAAAATGTCCTCCTTCGATACCTACTACTGTCATATCCACAAATCACTCTGGACCTTTATTAATTTCAAATGAAATATACATCACCAGAAATTCTGGTAAAGCATTAATATAAATATGTGGACTGTATATTAAAATTAATAAATGATTACATATACACATTTGTATAACAGAAGGAGAATTTATAATCATAAGACTTGCCAATTTGTCTGGAGATTACTTGGTGTATCATACACAGCCCCCTGCCTAAAATTATGATGAAAATACTGGCCAGAATTTCAACACAAAATAGACATGACTTAGCTGGGGTTCCGAAGCTGTCCTGTCCATCTGCTTAATGCTCACGTTATGCACGACTGCAAATCAAACAATTTTGGCTCCTATTCGAGAGGTTTTAAGCCCAATATAACCCCTAGAGCGACGAAAATTTGTGCACATTTCACTAACATGCCTTTATCACATTCAAAACAATGGAGTCTCTTCCCCAGCGACGCTCACCCAACGCTGGTTCTTTATTTATTTACAAATTAATTTTTATTACCTACAATATAGGCCATTTGTTTACATATAAAATACACTGTATTTTTGGAAAATATACAGTATTTTCCACGCCTATCATACATTTTACATGGTATACTAAGTAAACTTACTCCCCTATAATTTTTACTCTTTTGTCCCCCTTCCCTTCATATAAAGGAACTATACATGCTCTCTGCCAATCCTTAGGTATCTTCCCCTGTTTCATGTATGTAATATATATTTTTTTTATTTTTTTATTATCACACTGGCCGATTCCCACCAAGGCAGGGTGGCCCGAAAAAGAAAAACTTTCACCATCATTCACTCCATCACTGTCTTGCCAGAAGGGTGCTTTACACTACAGTTTTTAAACTGCAACATTAACACCCCTCCTTCAGAGTGCAGGCACTGTACTTCCCATCTCCAGGACTCAAGTCCGGCCTGCCGGTTTCCCTGAACCCCTTCATAAATGTTACTTTGTTCACACTCCAACAGCACATCAAGTATTAAAAACCATTTGTCTCCATTCACTCCTATCAAACACGCTCACGCATGCCTGCTGGAAGTCCAAGCCCCTCGCACACAAAACCTCCTTTACCCCCTCCCTCCAACCTTTCCTAGGCCGACCCCTACCCCACCTTCCTTCCACTACAGACTGATACACTCTTGAAGTCATTCTGTTTCGCTCCATTCTCTCTACATGTCCGAACCACCTCAACAACCCTTCCTCAACCCTCTGGACAACAGTTTTGGTAATCCCGCACCTCCTCCTAACTTCCAAACTACGAATTCTCTGCATTATATTCACACCACACATTGCCCTCAGACATGACATCTCCACTGCCTCCAGCCTTCTCCTCGCTGCAACATTCATCACCATGCTTCACACCCATATAAGAGTGTTGGTAAAACTATACTCTCATACATTCCCCTCTTTGCCTCCAAGGACAAAGTTCTTTGTCTCCACAGACTCCTAAGTGCACCACTCACCCTTTTCCCCTCATCAATTCTATGATTCACCTCATCCTTCATACACCCATCCGCTGACACGTCCACTCCCAAATATCTGAATACATTCACCTCCTCCATACTCTCTCCCTCCAATCTGATATCCAATCTTTCATCACCTAATCTTTTTGTTATCCTCATAACCTTACTCTTTCCTGTATTCACTTTCAATTTTCTTCTTTTGCACACCCTACCAAATTCATCCACCAATCTCTGCAACTTCTCTTCAGAATCTCCCAAGAGCACAGTGTCATCAGCAAAGAGCAACTGTAACAACTCCCACTTTATGTGTGATTCTTTATCTTTTAACTCCACGCCTCTTGTCAAGACCCTCGCATTTGCTTCTCTTACAACCCCATCTATAAATATATTAAACAACCACGGTGACATCACACATCCTTGTCTAAGGCCTACTTTTACTGGGAAATAATTTCCCTCTTTCCTATGTACTCTAACTTGAGCCTCACTATCCTCGTAAAAACTCTTCACTGCTTTCAGTAACCTACCTCCTACACCATACACCTGCAACATCTGCCACATTGCCCCCCTATCCACCCTGTCATACGCCTTTTCCAAATCCATAAATGCAACAAAGACCTCTTTAGCCTTATCTAAATACTGTTCACTTATATGTTTCACTGTAAACACCTGGTCCACACACCCCCTACCTTTCCTAAAGCCTCCTTGTTCATCTGCTATCCTATTCTCAGTCTTACTTTTAATTCTTTCAATAATAACTCTACCATACACTTTACCAGGTATACTCAACAGACTTATCCCCTATAATTTTTGCACTCTCTTTTGTCCCCTTTGCCTTTATACAAAGGAACTATGCATGCTCTCTGCCAATCCCTAGGTACCTTACCCTTTCCATACATTTATTAAATAATTGCACCAACCACTCCAAAACTATATCCCCACCTGCTTTTAACATTTCTACCTTTATCCCATCAATCCTGGCTGCCTTACCCCCTTTCATTTCACCTACTGCCTCACGAACTTCCCCCACACTCACAACTGGCACTTCCTCACTCCTACAAGATGTTATTCCTCCTTGCCCTATACACGAAATCACAGCTTCCCTATCTTCATCAACATTTAACAATTCCTCAAAATATTCCCTCCATCTTCCCAATACCTCTAACTCTCCATTTAATAACTCTCCTCTCCTATTTTTAACTGACAAATCCATTTGTTCTCTAGGCTTCCTTAACTTGTTAATCTCACTCCAAAACTTTTTCTTATTTTCAAGAAAATTTGTTGATAACTTCTCACCCACTCTCTCATTTGCTCTCTTTTTACATTGCTTCACCACTCTCTTAACCTCTCTCTTTTTCTCCATATACTCTTCCCTCCTTGCATCACTTCTACTTTGTAAAAACTTCTCATATGCTAACTTTTTCTCCCTTACTACTCTCTCTACATCATCATTCCACCAATCGCTCCTCTTCCCTCCCGCACCCACTTTCCTGTAACCACAAACTTCTGCTGAACACTAACACTACATTTTTAAACCTACCCTATACCTCTTCGACCCCATTGCCTATGCTCTCATTAGCCCATCTATCCTCCAATAGCTGTTTATATCTTTCCCTAACTGCCTCCTCTTTTAGTTTATAAACCTTCACATCTCTCTTCCCTGATGCTTCTATTCTCCTTGTATCCCATCTACCTTTTACTCTCAGGGTAGCTACAACTAGAAAGTGATCTGATATATCTACCAATACATAATCCAACAAACTACTGTCATTTCGCCCTACATCATATCTTGTATACTTATTTATCCTCTTTTTCTTAA